ATTGATTCAAACTTTATAAAATAGTAAATAACGTTTTTTATTGCTTGTTCACATATTTCAACTATTTAATAAATATTTATAAAATTATGAATAAAAAATTTTCAAATTTATTTCTTTATTAATTGCTAAATGATAAATATTCGATTGCATTAATTTTAATACAATTGTATTAGTATTTAGAAAGTTGTTATTATAAAATTATTCTTGTAAATAAACAATTTAATAAATAAATGGTGCTTACTGATCGCGACATCTCTCAGAGATGAAATTTAAATTTATATTATTTCATTATTCCATAATTTTAACACATCAGCAGATAGCTATTAATGTCAACAACTGAGCATAATTAGTTATTAATTAGAAAAATAGTAATTAATGTATATTATCCATAACTATATCTACAAGAATGTCGTTTCTGATAAAAGTTTTAAAAAATAACCATAATTACGTAAAAAATACGTATATTGCCGAAAAATCTTTTTTCCAAAATATAGCTAATTGTGCTATGTCAAAATGCTTACTGTATAAACAATAATAATACCGAATAAATTTTTGATACATTAAAGTATATTTAATCACATCTATTTAATAGGTGTCGAGATCTGTTAATATTGTTGTTGCCGATTCACAAGAACAAAAAGACGTAGTAATTCACTTTCATCATACGTTTAGGTTTTATTACAATTTTAATTATCACTTTTTAAACCAGTAAACATTGTCAAGGATCGAAGGTAGTTAAAATAATAGAGGCGTCAAGGAAAAAACATTCTTCTAACACTTCGTATTTTTCGGGCTGATTTAACTATGTTTGCCCATACATTTCCCATGGGTCTTTGCGCATAAGTGAACGTAACTAACCCGGCGGGAAATCGAACTCAGTTCCCCGATTACTCATTCCGTGCCGCTATTCACGACATCACACACATACTAATAAGGAACATCTTCGATAAGGTTTCACCATTTTTAATCGTTAGCCTATACAGATAATGGTGTAAGCATTTCTAAACTACATTACTGCCATCATCATCTTGCGGCCTCAGCCGAGATTGAACTCACCAATACTTTGATTGGTGTAGTTCATAATCTTGTCAAATAGCTGAATTCTTGATGCTTCGCTAGGGCTATCAAGAGTGTTTTTATCGTGACACCAACACTAAATGGATTGCCAACCAAGGCTCAGAGAGACTCCATTCACCCTCCTCTAAGAGCAGGTTTTGAATTCAGAGTTTTCCTTCTCCTAGACCAGTTGCCATCCAAGACTATAGAACCCAGACTGTCCTGCTATTTACCCATAGCTGGAGGGAGAAAAAAGAGGATTCGCACCTTTCCCAAGGGTGTTAGCACGTAAGTGAATGTAATGGATTCGACTGGAATTCGAACTCGGCTCTCCGATTCCTCAATCCAAGCCGCTATCCATTACTCCACCGTGCCTCCTCAATTACTGTAATAATGGTATCAGTAAGCGTAAAAGAACGCAGAACAGAGGTAAGAAGATTATGTTGCGCCAATAACTTGAAAATCACAATCCTATTTTATTGAGCGTGATAATGAACTCAAATATCGATATTTTTTTTCTCTTTAATTTTAATAAAATGTACTGTTTTATCTTCTTAAGGCAAATATTAGTTCGTACGATTTATTTGTTTTTTACGGTTTGTCAACCTTTTACAGGTTATTAAAAGCCAGAAAATATTTGTAGAATGTAAGAATATTTCTGAGATAATAAAGATTTACTGATACGCGGGATAATGATAAGAGCTGGGAGAGAGGAGGTTGATTTATAAACTTCCCAAGTCAATATAACGAACCCGACCGGAATTGGAACTCAGCTATCCGCTTTCCAGTTCCGAGCCGAAATCTTTATGCAACACGCACATCCAGGTTCACAAGTAGTATTTCCCTGCGGTCACCCATCTAGATAGTGACCAGGCGTGACGTTGCTTACATTCGGTGATAGTAAGAGGGTCGGTGTTTCAACGTCATATGGCCGTAAGCCGTTCGTTCGTATGCAAACATTTTTGTGATTTGGAAGACACCTATATGCTCACGAAAACCTATTCAGTTAATCGAAACGTGTACTTATAAAAGCCGCAATGGCCGCGCTTATAAACAACTGAAACATGTCTGACAAATGGTTTTCTCTGACCTGGAGCAACTCTGTTATTTCCGCGTGCAACCGTTTCTTCTGCTTGCAAAATCCGTGTAAGCCACTAGCGTGAATGTCTCTTTTATCTTGTCAACCGTTGTATCTAACAATAACACAAATTAGATGGACCTTTCTTCGGACTTTCTCCTGTATCCCTTAATTGTTGGAATGACCTTCGAATTGCATCAAAGACAGAATCGTCCCCGAAAATCTTATATTGGCAAGACCCTATCAAGGAACAGGTAAAAAAAAGAGTGGAAGAGGATTTTCCTTAGAATTTAAATAGACTCTTCAGTGTGGCTTTGATGGACAGAAGGACTGCCTATCTTGTCTCTCATTCAGACAAAGATTTGTCAATTCAGTGTCCATTGGTTGGGAATGCAATCGCTTTCGGGCAAATCCTAAAAAGTGAAAGAATTCTATGCGCTTCCAGATATATATATATATATATATATATATATATATATATATATATATATATATATATGAATGAATAAAGACAAAACGAAAACTTATCTTATTTGTTTCGTCCTTTGATGGGTTTTATCAACACTTTAGCAAGGATTTTATCGTGTAAGAAGTATTTATATATATAAGTTTATATACTACAGCAAAAATGTTATTGGTTTTTCAAAATCTTTAACTTTATGAACGTTCATAAATCTTTAATAAATGAATTAGTTATACACAAATATAAATTCAACAACTTTGAAACTATATATATACACATACACACACACACACACATATATATATATATATATATATATATATATATATAATTATTTATTTAAAAATATGATTCCAACTAGCGACATGTGTCGCGAGTTAGAATCATATTTTTAAATTTTTTAAAATATTTTTAAATAAATAATTATATTTATGCTCTACTTTTGTATCGAGCACTATTTTTAAAATAATAACTAAAATACTAAGAAACTTTGGATTATTTACTAACCAGTTCCTTCCTATTTTCTACATATTTTCAAATATATATATATATATATATATATATATATATATATATATATATATATATATATATATATATGAATAAAGATAAAACTGAAACTTATCTTAGCCGTTTCGTCCTCTGGTGGTTTCATCAATATTTTAGCAAGGATTTTATTTTGTAAGAAGTATTTATATATATAAGTTTATATACTAGAGCAAAAAAGTTATCGGTTTTGCAAGTGGTTTAACTATAAGAACGTTAATAAATATTTATTAAGTGGATTAGTTGTACATAGAAATAAATTCAACGACAACTTTGCAACTATATATATATATATATATAAAGTAAAATGGAGAATAGTAAATAAAACAAGACCTGTAAAACCTGGGATGACCCATGCCCTTTATGCTCACAGGAAAAACTACACATCATTAAATTTCTAAATAATGAAAAATTATTAAACCATAGGCAGGAGTTAACGGTTTTTTGTCGACATCAACAAACTTTCGCATTAAATAATTGGCATAAAAAATAAAATAAAAAAATCCCATAGCTAGGTAAAATTATCAGAAGCTTAGCCAAATCATTAAATAGGAAAAACCCTTTTTGTAGTCGTCAAAAAACAAAAAAAAAACAAATTGAAATTCAGTGCAATACGATCTGTATATAAAACACCCACTTGAATAAACAAATAAATAGATAATCAGATGGACAATAATAAAAGACAATTCTCCAACACATAACGACTTGTAGGCGCGCCATAAAAATATCCCTCACTGGGAACCAACTAAAGGGTGACCGCAAACATTAGCCTTGAAATAGATACCCTACCCAACCTTAGCAAAACCTCTCAGAAGATGATAAATCTATTGATAAGAATTAACTCTCTGACCACTTAGGAAAATAGTGTTTACAGGCATGGTCCGTTACAGAATTCGTTATTGTGGGAGCCACTCACACAATAACGAATTCTGTAACGGACCATGCCTATAAACACACGTAAACCGAAAGATAGCTTATTCCTAAAATTTCGCTTGAAGATGAAACGGGACTAAACACTACAATTCAACTTAATTTTAATAATTATTTGGATGACTTCGGCTCTCGTTTTTGAAACATGAGAACTCTTATGTAGCGAAGGAATCATATTTTTAAACAAAAAATATTATTATAATAAAGCTCTAATTCTGTATGGAGCACTGTCTTCTTCAAAATAAAAACAAAAATACTAAGGAAACCCGGATTATGCACCCAACGTGTTGTTTTTCTATTTTCTACATACCTACGCACTTATATATATATATATATATATATATATATATATATATATATATATATATAATGTAAATATGTTTAAATTGGTAGGTGAAAAAATGTCTATAGCACAATTTTCCCTACATATATATATATATATATATATATATATATATATATATATATATATATATATATATATATATATATGCGTGTGTGTATTGTCAAATAATGTAAGGTGCTGTTCATCAATTCGGTTTTCAAATTTCTGAATCAGTTATTTTAAGTTATTGGTAAATTTTACAAAGTTCATATATATTTTTATTTTATATTATTTGTTCCATGTACTTTAAAATGCAGTTAGATACGTTTTCAAGAATTTGTCTGTGTATATTCACGTAACTATTTGCTTTCCTCCGGCATTCTCACGTTTGGTGGAACCAATTTTGTGCCGGGAATTTGAAAAAAATCATTAAAAACATGACAGATATAACTCGATATTATTTTGCCGCACAAGTTTTAAAATATTAAAATTGAATTATATATATATATATATATATATATATATATATATATATATATATATAGAGAGAGAGAGAGAGAGAGAGATAGAGAGAGACAGAGAGGTAGATTGTGAACTGACTGTTATAGATAGATAGATAGAGAGAGGGAGGGAGGGAGGAGAATGTTCAATAAATAGATAGGTAGATTATGAACAGACTGTGATAGATAGATAGATAGATAGATAGATAGATAGATAGATAGATAGATATAGTGATAGTGTGGTAAATACAAACTGCTCTGTTATTATACATTGCTCACTATTTTTATTTAACACCAGCACGGAATGTGCGATATTATATATATATAGTTTTAATATTTGTTATTACTAGGATCCACCTGGATTATATACCAACGGTTCTATTACCAGTATTATATATATATATATATATATATATATATATATATATATATATATATATATATATATATATATATAAATAAAAAAACAGACCTTAAAGGTTGCATGTAATAAATTATTTCACCACTCGTTTTTTAAGGACTGCGGATCATCAGACTTTTATTTCCAATTCTGATGATCCGCAGTCCTTTAAAAAGCTCTGGTGAAATAATTTATTACATGCAACCTTTAAGTAGTATGTTTTTATTTAAATTATTTGCTCTGGATTTACATTGAGCTCTCTGGATTTTATCCTCCTTTGGTCTACCCATACGGATTACCTGGTTTTCCATAAACTAAACATATATATATATATATATATATATATATATGTGTGTGTGTGTGTGTGTGTGTACAATTTGTTTGGTGTAACAGCAAAATTTTTAAAATCGTGTAACCACATGGGATAATTGTCCCTCACATAAAATGTTTAATCTCTAAAAGACCACTAGAGTAATTTCATTTATTTTTCCCATGTTTTCAGATAAGATGTTTAGCCATCTTGCCACCATTTGTCGTAAGAATCACTGAAAAACCCTTTGTCTTATTCAGCTAGAAAGAGAACAGGTTAAAATCATTTTCTGCTAGCTCCCCCCTCCTACATGATTTCTCATCTGAGCAATGTTGAGAGGAAAAAAGATGATTCAGGCCTTCAGTAATGGTACCAACATTCATACTCTGGCTTCCATCGTCAAAGTCTATTCAAGAACCCTTAAGAGAATGGTGAATAAGTTTAAAAATGAATTAACAGTATAAGAGGAAAAGACGAGACATCAGCTCACGGTTAATAATTTTGCTGATTTTTCTTTGAATTTTATCAAGAATCCATATATATATATATATATATATATATATATAGCAAGAACACCGGACGCATCAGCAATAGTCATTTTCATATAAAGATAAGAATGTCAGGAGAACGTCAGGAGTCAGGAAATTTCTCGCACAGAAGAATAAGCCGACCTCTTTAATTAATTAATTATTCATATTAATATTATCAATAATTATTATTCAAATTAATAATAGTTAATAGATATCTTAAAACAATATTTTTTCTAAATGTTTGATTAAATAGTAGACTGTTTAGTATCCTCGCGACATTCCTGGTTTTAAAAGCATCGGTTACATAGTGTATTTCCCACTCAAATTACGTCAATTTTAAAAATGGCGTCCGTTGAACGACTTCCGGGAGTTCGGAGGTTGAATGTTTAAAACATTTAAACTAGCTGCACGCGCCTAGTACTCTCTGTTTTATCTTTTCAGTCAACAAAATAAATAAATAAATGATTGAATGAATGAATAAAAATTAGATTCTCAAAATTCTGGAGCGGTAAAGTTGACTATTTGATTACAGTGTAACTCTAACTCAATTAGGCAACATGGCCGCCGACATTGTTTGCGGTTGGCGCTCATTTCCATTGCTTGCTTTTTTGCCGTTTTTTTTTATTATTATTATTATTATTTTCGATTCCTTTTTCAGTCCTTTGTTTTTCTTTCGTTTGTCTTTGCTTATTATCAGGTGTCACGGCAACAAAATACAGTTTTATTGTTTTATTGTCATTATTTCAGACGACATCCCTTTCCCTCCAAATCAACCTTCAATTTCTCACTCCGCCTTTCTTTCTCTGTAAATTTTTCTCAACAAAATCTATTTTCTTTACTTCTATTGCATCTATACATTTAGGAAAAGTATTGATCGATGTGTTATTCTTCCACAATGTAAGGGTACACACACACACACACACACACATATATATATATATATATATATATATATATAACAGTATATATAATATGTATAACAGCAAAATTGTCCAAGATTGTCTTAGATTAAGTTTTGAAGAGTTGTATCTTAGAAATGATTAAATGTATCTTACTGGAATTCTTCAAGGCTTATATAACACTATTCGACTCTACTTTGAGCAATAAGAATGTATAATTACTCTCTAACCTTAAGAGAAGTATCGTGATGAAATCGATCATTAACGAAAATGTTCATCATTAATGAATCGGAAGCTCATAAAGAATTGAAATAAAGTTCAAATATATATATATATATATATATATATATATATGTCATTGGTCCTTACATATAACTACACAATGAACTCTCCCTAACAATATGTATACTACGCCTCTCAAGAGAGAGGGTCGAATCGAGTCGAGCCGATAGTAGTTCACTCCAAACCAGACTGACAGTCATACTAACACCTTCCACATCTTGTATTCTTATTTCGTGTAATATACCTTCGTTATTTCTACTTCTGTGTTCGTGTTGTTCTTCCTTGGTCCTAACCTGGACCATAATAATATATATATATATATATATATATATATATATATATATATATATATATATATATATGTATATATAATAAAATAAAATAAAATAAATAAATAAATCTCCATAGACAAGCAAACTAGACGATGGCCAATACATCTTCCGTTTCATTTTGACACCCCACCTTTCCCCCGACTTGACACCTTGAAAGTATCTCTATACCGCTACTTATTATAAACACCCTACACTCGCATACCCAATTTAGACAATTCACCTAGCTGTTACCATGGGGATTTTGATTTCAATTTTAAAACAAGTAAATATCAGATATACGTTATTCCAACAAAATTTCGCTTGAAGATGGAACGGAGCCCATTTTACTTTCAACTCAATTTAATTTAAAGGATTATATTGAAGTTTTCGGCTCTTGTTTTTGAAACATGAGACCTCTTATGTAGCGATTTGGAATCATATTTTAAATAAATAATTATATATATATATATATATATATATATATATATATATATATATATATATATATATATAAATATGTATCTATTCTCCCGTAAGATTTCATTTTCCAGTCTTTTTTTCATTGTTCATTGGACTGTCATAGCTGAAACTCCTCTCTCACAGGCCAAACGTCTTATAAATTGAGATGGGTCTTTTCTAAGTTATCTTTTTAGCTCCAAGTTTAAAAGATTATCCCTGTTCCTATTGTAACCTTTGTCATCCATCTTTCTTCTGAACTGTTCCCTCTTTATAAAATTTATTAACAGTCTTTTGATAGTTCTTGAATGAATTTTGAAGATCGCGGCCAGAGTATGAACGTTGGTACTATTTCAGAAGGCCTAAATGATATTTTTTCTCTCACCATTGCATAGTTGAGAAGAGAGTGGGTGTGACACAAAACGATTTCAACCTGTTCTCTTTCTAGCTAAATAAGACAAAGGGTTTTTCAGTGATTCTTACGAAAAATGTTGTCAAGATGGCTAAACCTCTTTTCTGAAAACTTGAAACAAAAACTCAATTAGTTTAGTTGTTTTTTAGATATTAAACCTTTTGTGGGATGGACAATTATGCTGTTACACGATTTGGACAATTTTGCTGTTACACCCGGTATATATATGATAAACCTCTCTACATACGCACATCTTCCAACTACCCGCCTTCTATAATCAAACAGATACCAATTCCGACAATTCCTCCAATGAATTCCTATTTAACAAAGCTAAGAAAGACTACGAAACAGCCCTAAAAGATAGTGGATTCCCAAAAATACTCACCACAGAACACAAAAAGGCCAACAAGCAAAGAAATATCATATGTTTCAACCCACCGTACAGCAAAAACGTAAAAACAAAGATAGGAAAAATATTCTTCAAATTCTTGCACAAACACTTCCCGGAATCAAGCACCCTACACAAAATATTCAACAAAAACTCAGTAAAAACCAGCTACAGTTGCACCGAGAACATGGCACAAATAAATAAAAAAAACACAACAGGAAAATTATCAACAAACCACACGAACAAATTAAACCCACGTGCAACTGCAGAATAAAGAACGAATGTCCCTTAAACGGTAATTGTTTACAAAACAACGTAATATACCAAGCCACGATAAAATCACCAGATAATGAAGAAAAAGTATACATAGGAGAAACTGAAGGAACATGAAAACAAACAAATTATGCACACAAATCATCTTTCACAAATAGTAAATATGCGAACAGCGCAATGCTTTCTAAGTATACCTGGGAAATTAAAAGCAAAACTCACATCACACCAAAATATCTTGGAAAAATAAGGAAAAGATCATCAGCTTACAACAACCAATCAAAAACTTGCAAACTTTGCTTGGAGGAAAAATAGCTATCATTACCTTCTCAGACCCAAATAAATTATTAAATAAAATGTCCGAGCTCATCTCAAAATGCAGACATGTAAACAAATTTTTACTACGTTACTTAAAAATCGAAAACTGAAAAAAAATAATAATAATTTAAAATAAATGAATAAACAAAATGACAATAATATAAGTAAAATAAATTAACCCAAACAATTGACCAAATCACACCCGTTATAATAGACAAAATAGAATAAATAAATAAAAAATAAAAAAACAAAATCAATGAGCCCAAATAAATAAAGTAAATAATAAACAAATTAACAAACCATTATGGCCAAAATATTAGTTAGACTATAAAAATCAAAGCAAAAATCGAAAAACATAGTTATAACTGTTATTTATCGATAAAAAAATACTACGTTACTTAAAAATCGAAAACCATAAAGAATAAATAAAAATATACAGTATAATAAATAAATAATAAAAAACAAGTAAAATAAATTCTAAATTCATCAAAATAAATAAACCAACTAACAAACCGATCTCGATAAATTAAGCGTTAGAAAAAACAAATAAAGATAATCAATTTGCGAATCATGTTTTGATTAAAGTAACTGTATTTTATATTTTTTTAACTCTTTTGTATCTGGTCTTAAGATGTTTGTGCGCGCGCGTGTGTGTGCGTGTGCGTGTGTGTGTATATGGTGTAGTGCTTATCAGTGCAGTAAGAGGTATCGGCCTGCCGGGTTCAAATTCCGAGGACAAGGTCGTTTCCGTTTTTTACACACAAATGACCTTGGGAGAAGTATCAGTTTCATTTCTTATCTCCCCACCTACAGGTTAAATAACAGGCTCACTGGAAGGAAAACGCTATTTGGAAACTTTACAGAAACTCTGTACACTATTCCTCAGTTTACTACTGTAGAGGGCGGCTAATTGTACACTAATCAAATTATATGTAAAAGAAAATAATTGTTAGTCCCTCATAATTCGATAGTCCTCGGTATGACGATAAACTACATACAGCAGCAAGGCCTCTGGTTGGAGGTTTTGATGAGTGGAGAATCCCCTCTTAATTTCTATTGTTCCCTGATCAATTCTGACGCGGGTGGTAGCATTTGTTAGGGTCACAGATATGGCAAAATAGGGAATCCACAAACAAAAATTAAAGAAATACATTTTTATAGTAAAATGACTAACAGTACATTTTTATGGTATAATTACTAGCAATACATTTTATAGTTGAATTAACAACAACACATTTTATAATAAAATGACTGACAACTATTTTATAGCAAAATGGCAAACAATACATTTTATAGCAAAATGACAAAAAAAAAGTATGAAAATACATTTTCATTGTAAATTTATCAGCAATACATTTTCGTAAAAAATTACTAAGGATACGTTTGATATAAAATTATCAAGAATATATTTTTCTTTAAAAAACTAACAATAAATATTATTATCAACAAAGTACATATCTAAAATATACGTTTATCCTGAAAGTATAAAATTATGTACAAAATATCTGTAATTGAAGGCATCAAACTGCGTACAATATATATATATATATATATATATATATATATATATATATATATATATATAGGTGATACCATAAAATTACGGACAATATAGAGATAGAGAAAGAGAGAGATATATAGAGAAAGAGAAAAGAAAGAAAGAAAGAACGAAAGAAAGAAAGAAGAGAGGGAAAGAGAAAAGAGAAAGAGAGGGAGAAAGGGAAAAGAGAGAAATAGAAAAGAGAGAAATGAGAGAAAGAGAGAGAAAGAAAAAAGCAAGAAATCAGAGAAACAGGAAAGAGAGAAAAGAATGAAAGAGAGAGAAATAGAGAGAAAAGAAAGAGAGAAAAAGAAATGAGAGAGAGAGAGAGAGCGAAAGAGAAAGAAAGAAAAAGGAGAGAGAGAGATTAAAGAGAAAAAAAGAAGGTACATTTCATCTTTATTTCTATGATCACCTAGAAAATGCTGCCATTGGTGTTAATGTCTCTAAAACTGAATCCATAGTCTTCAACCAGTAAGGCTCAATACAAATTGTCTCAAGCTGTCGAATCTTTTACATAGCCAGGAATTGATATAAATTTTACTGAAATGGATGTGAAGATTCGCATAGCTAGAGCGTGGGACACCTTGAATAAAATTGATGCAAACTGGAAATCTGATCTACCAGGCAAAATCGAACGGAGATTCTTCCTAGCCACTGTAGAGGCGGTGTTATTGTTTGGTGCCACTGCTTGGACATTAAAACCCTAGAGTCTAACCTTGATGGAGCCTACACTCGGATGCTTAGAGCTATACTTAATCTCCAGAAGACAACATCCTGCTAAATTACAGCTCTATAGATCCATTCCCTGATATTTCTACAACTTCCGAGCCACTGTAGAGGCGATGTTAATGTTTGGTGTCACTGCTTGGACATTAAACACTGGAGTCTAACCTTGATGGAGCCTACACTCGGATGCTTAGAGCTATACTTAATCTCCAGAAGACAACATCCTGCTAAATTACAGCTCTATAGATCCATTCCCTGATATTTCTACAACTTCCGAGCCACTGTAGAGGCGATGTTAATGTTTGGTGTCACTGCTTGACATTAAAACACTGGAGTCTAACCTTGATGGAGCCTACACTCGGATGCTTAGATAATCTCCAGAAGACAACATTGCTAAAGAGCTATAGATCCATTCCTGATAATCTCCTGGAGAAGACAACATCCTGTTTGGACATTAAACACTGGAAATTGGAGTTTACACTCGGATCTATATAGATCCATTCTATAGATCCATTCCCTGATATTTCTACAACTTCCGAGCCACTGTAGAGGCGATGTTAATGTTTGGTGTCACTGCTTGGACATTAAAACACTGAGTCTAACCTGATGGAGCCTACACTGGATGCTTAGAGCTATACTTAATCTCCAGAAGACAACATCCTGCTAAATTACAGCTCTATAGATCCATTCCTGATATTTCTACAACTTCCGAGCCACTGTAGAGGCGATGTTAATGTTTGGTGTCACTGCTTGGACATTAAAAACACTGGAGTCTAACCTTGATGGAGCCTACACTCGGATGCTTAGAACTATACTTAATCTCAGAAGACAACATCCTGCTAAATTACAGCTCTATAGATCCATTCCCTGATATTTCTACAACTTCCGAGCCACTGTAGAGGCGATGTTAATGTTTGGTGTCACTGCTTGGACATTAAAACCCTGGAGTCTAACCTTGATGGATCCTACACCGGATGCTTAGAACTATACTTAATCTCCAGAAGACAACATCCTGCTAAATTACAGCTCTATAGATCCATTCCTGATATTTCTATGCAACTTCCGAGCCATCCTGTAGAGGCGATGTTAATGTTTGGTGTCACTGCTTGGACATTAAAACACTGAGTCTAACTTTGATGGATCCTACACTCGGATGCTTAGAACTATACTTAATCTCCAGAAGACAACATCCTGCTAAATTACAGCTCTATAGATCCATTCCCTGATATTTCTACAACTTCCGAGCCACTGTAGAGGCGATGTTAATGTTTGGTGTCACTGCTTGGACATTAAAACACTGGAGTCTAACTTTGATGGATCCTACACTCGGATGCTTAGAGCTATACTTAATCTCTAGAAGACAACATCCTGCTAAATTACAGCTCTATAGATCCATTCCCTGATATTTCTACAACTTCCGAGCCACTGTAGAGGCGATGTTAATGTTTGGTGTCACTGCTTGGACATTAAAACACTGGAGTCTAACTTTGATGGAGCCTACACTCGGATGCTTAGAGCTATACTTAATCTTCAGAAGACAACATCCTGCTAAATTACAGCTCTATAGATCCATTCCCTGATATTTCTACAACTTCCGAGCCACTGTAGAGGCGATGTTAATGTTTGGTGTCACTGCTTGGACATTAAAACCCTGGAGTCTAACCTTGATGGAGCCTACACTCGGATGCTTAGAACTATACTTAATCTCCAGAAGACAACATCCTGCTAAATTACAGCTCTATAGATCCATTCCCTGATATTTCTACAACTTCCGAGCCACTGTAGAGGCGATGTTAATGTTTGGTGTCACTGCTTGGACATTAAAACCCTGAGTCTAACCTTGATGGATCCTACACTCGGATGCTTAGAACTATACTTAATCTCCAGAAGACAACATCCTGCTAAATTACAGCTCTATAGATCCATTCCCTGATATTTCTACAACTTCCGAGCCACTGTAGAGGCGATGTTAATGTTTGGTGTCACTGCTTGGACATTAAAACACTGGAGTCTAACTTTGATGGATCCTACACTCGGATGCTTAGAGCTATACTTAATCTCCAGAAGACAACATCCTGCTAAATTACAGCTCTATAGATCCATTCCCTGATATTTCTACAACTTCCGAGCCACTGTAGAGGCGATGTTAATGTTTGGTGTCACTGCTTGGACATTAAAACCCTGGAGTCTAACTTTGATGGATCCTACACTCGGATGCTTAGAGCTATACTTAATCTCCAGAAGACAACATCCTGCTAAATTACAGCTCTATAGATCCATTCCCTGATATTTCTACAACTTCCGAGCCACTGTAGAGGCGATGTTAATGTTTGGTGTCACTGCTTGGACATTAAAACACTGGAGTCTAACCTTGATGGATCCTACACATCCGGATGCTTAGATTCTGGATATTTTAATCTCCAGAAGAGAACATCTGCTTGGAAATTACAGCTGGAGTCTATAGATCCATGCCCTGATATTTCTACAACTTCCTATAGATCCAGCCACTGTAAAACACTGGAGAGGCGATGTTAATGTTTAAGTGTCACTGCTTGACATTAAAACACTGAGTCTAACTTTGATGGATCCTACACTCGGATGCTTAGAGCTATACTTAATCTCCAGAAGACAACATCCTGCTATAGATAAATTACAGCTCTATAGATGGACCACTGAGTCTAACTTTGATGGATTTCGGATGCTTACAACTTAATCTCTAGAAGACATCCACTGTACAGCTCTATAGATCCATTCCTGATATTTCTACAATGTGTATGTTAATGTTTGGTGTCACTGCTTGGACATTAAAACACTGGAGTCTAACTGGAGCCTTGATGGATCCTACACTCGGATGCTTAGAAGCTATACTTAATCTCCAGAAGAGAACATCCTGCTAAATTACAGCTCTATAGATCCATTCCCTGATATTTCTACAACTTCCGAGCCACTGTAGAGGCGATGTTAATGTTTGGTGTCACTGCTTGGACATTAAAACACTGGAGTCTAACTTTGATGGATCCTACACTCGGATGCTTAGAGCTATACTTAATCTCCAGAAGACAACATCCTGCTAAATTACAGCTCTATAGATCCATTCCCTGATATTTCTACAACTTCGAGCCACTGTAGAGGGCGATGTTAATGTTTGGTGTCACTGCTTGGACATTAAAACACTGAGTCTAACTTTGATGGATCCTACACTGGATGCTTAGAGCTATACTTAATCTCCAGAAGACAACATCCTGCTAAATTACAGCTCTATAGATCCATTCCTGATATTTCTACAACTTCCGAGCCACTGTAGAGGCGATGTTAATGTTTGGTGTCACTGCTTGGACATTAAAAAACACTGGAGTCTAACTTGATGGATCCTACACTCGGATGCTTAGAGCTATACTTAATCTCCAGAAGACAACATCCTGCTAAATTACAGCTCTATAGATCCATTCCCTGATATTTCTACAACTTCCGAGCCACTGTAGAGAGGCGATGTTAATGTTGGTGTCACTGCTTGACATTAAAAACACTGGAGTCTAACTTTGATGGATCCTACACTGGATGCTTAGAGCTATACTTAATCTCCAGAAGACAACATCCTGCTAAATTACAGCTCTATAGATCCATTCCTGATATTTCTACAACTCTGGAGCCACTGTAGAGGCGATGTTAATGTTTGGTGTCACTGTTTGGACATTAAAACACTGAGTCTAACTTTGATGGATCCTACACTCGGATGCTTAGAGCTATACTTAATCTCCAGAAGACAACATCCTGCTAAATTACAGCTCTATAGATCCATTCCCTGATATTTCTACAACTTCCGAGCCACTGTAGAGGCGATGTTAATGTTTGGTGTCACTGCTTGGACATTAAAACACTGGAGTCTAACTTGATGGATCCTACACTCGGATGCTTGCTATACTTTAATCTTCAGAAGACAACATCCTGCTAAATTACAGCTCTATAGATCCATTCCTGATATTTCTACAACTTCGAGCCACTGTAGAGGCGATGTTAATGTTTGGTGTCACTGCTTGGCCTGAGTCTAACTTTGATGGACTCGGATGCTTAGACCTATACTTAATCTCCAGAAGACAACATCCTGCTAAATTACAGCTCTATAGATCCATTCCTGATATTTCTACAACTTCCGAGCCACTGTAGAGGCGATGTTAATGTTTGGTGTCACTGCTTGGACATTAAAACACTGAGTCTAACTTTGATGGATCCTACACTCCGGATGCTTAGAGCTATACTTAATCTCCAGAAGACAACATCCTGCTAAATTACATAGATCCATTCCTATAGATCCATTAGAGGCGATGTTAATGATACTTTGGACATTAAAACTCTCGAGCCACTCAGATGCTTAGAACTATACTTAATCTTTAGAAGACGATGCTAAATTACATGTTTGGTGTCACTGTCACTTGGACATTAAAACACTGGAGTCTAACCTTGATGGATCCTACACTCGGATGCTTAGAACTATACTTAATCTCCAGAAGACAACATCCTGCTAAATTACAGCTCTATAGATCCATTCCTGATATTTCTACAACTTCCGGAGCCACTGTAGAGGCGATGTTAATGTTTGGTGTCACTGCTTGGACATTAAAACCCTGGAGTCTAACCTTGATGGAGCCTACACTCGGATGCTTAG